AATAATCTTCAAATTACACCAAGTATGAGTATTAATAGGTGGAGGAATGAAACTCAGGTCGTTCGGATATTTGATGTGTGACAAAATTCCAAAGTTCACAAATCAATCACCATGTTATAAAGGCATGTGATCTCCCACATACAGTCTTAGGTAGAAAATAGGAGTTTTGACCTACACTTGCCCTGGCAGAGATGTCCCATCAACAAGATCACACATGGCTCCATGTGTTAGACTGCAATTTGCGCACACATCAGAAATTGAACCTCAAATGCCTTGGAATCAAGAGGTCCATATGGTGCGGCTAAGGGTTGAGTCTCCCCGATCGTCTTGAAAAGAAAAAGTGACATGTCTGTCGCGAGTTGTTTCGCCTAAAAAATGATCCTCGAACGAGTCTTTGGGTTGTGACCTCAATGCTTTGGGAAATGAGGGTGGGAGGAGGTGGTCTCATAGCCTTGGATGAGAGGATGGGAGAAGCGACACTCAAGTTGCTATTCCCTGGAACAGAAGTGCTTGCATGACATTTTATTTAGCTGGCAATCGCGTTGCCTGCCACCTAGGTAAATGCATAACAATGTACCTATGCTTTAATGAAGTTGAAAGTGCTCGGTTGAAGTTTGGATTTTCCGTTGCAGAAGTTGAGACTTTGCATAGATAATGTAGTTGATGACAGTGCATCAGTTCGCCGAAAAGATGCCAACTTGCTTACAGATTAATTCATTAAATTCAATTTACATGCTTATCGTCTAATTTTTGGTCTTCTAATTTACTGTCTTCTGAATTTTGTGTAAAATTCACGCTTTTACTTTACGGTTATGACTTACTGCCTTAAGTTCTCTGTTTCCATTATAACCAAAAATTTAGGACCGTTCTCTTCGTGTTTCAGTTTTGTGTTTTGAGTTTTGAATTCATTTTATATTTTGTGTTTTGAGTGTCTGTTTTGAAATTTCTGAAAATGCGTTTTTTTTTGTTATTTTGAAAAACTGTTTCCGAAAATATAAAAATGGAAAATGCGTTTACTTTGAAATTTTGAGAATTTTTGAAATAATATTTTATTCAAGAAATCTGATTATTCAATAAATTTTAATAGTTTAATGTTAATATAGTATTAAATAACATATAAATTTTGAAATTTGTGAATCTTGAAATATTTTTTTCCAAATATAAAAAACAAAACCTAAATTAAATTTGGCAGTCCTTATTTTTGTCCTTATACATAACTTGTGATAAAAATTAACTAGCATCAAGTCACAACCAAACATAATCAAGTTGCAAAAAAGGGGAGCACTAATTTCATGTTAACATGGTAATAAATATTTTGAAATCAATCTTATTGACTTTGTGTTAGTTCTCACAATTCTTGTCAAATACAATTTTGATCGTCTAAACACGATGACTATCATCAATGATAATAAATAACATTACTCCTTGATTATAGATAAACCACTAACAATCTCTTCCATATATAATTTAGTATAACATTACATGTTATAAGTAAATATTGACTAGTAGAGCTTGTGCTCACTTGACAAGACTACTCTCGAACAATTTTACCTTTTCTCCCACGAAATACTCTATCCTCTAGTTTGTCGTAACCTGGGATGTGACATCCTCAAGCACCAATATATATTCTACAAAATCAAAGACCAAAATCAATAACGAGGGAACAAAATTATACCCCAATCCAAAGGCAAAATAAACATCCACACAAATGTAGTCTTGGAATCATCCAAACCACTACTACATTGACAGCAAAAGGATCTTGAACCTCAGTCAGCATTTTACATTTTTTCAATCAAGAGTTTCATTCAAAGTAATGATTCCTCCAAAAAATAGGATAGACAAAATTCCATCAACTCCAATCACCTTATCCAACACTCAGTTCAAAGTCATAAACTCCAATCACCTTATCAAACACCTTATCCAACACTCGGTTCAAATGGTTAAATTATAAAAATAGGTGAATCTGAGCTTACAGATTGAGGAATTGGGAGTGACAAATGAGGGAATTACCATGCATACTACAAAGAAGACCTACCAAAATCAATATAGCACAATTGAAATTTGGATCTGAATAGCAAATTTAGATCCTATGCTACTAATTACTCCCAAATTTAAAAACAGAAAACATTATAAACATAGTTCTACCAATTTCAGAAACTTTCCGTTCCAAAGTAGCACCAGCACCAGGCACTTGCTTCTGGAACTGCTCTGCCAATTTCTTCAGATTCTCCAAGTTATCAAGGCTTGAATTTTTTTAGGTTAAACCATTCATTTAATCAAGTTCTAATAGCTGCAATCCAATGGGAAAATACCACAAGAAACAGGAAGTGTTGCGTACCCAACTGATGAAAAATTTGAGGAAGAATGTCTTACAATTCATAACACATTAATAAACTCACTCAGAACTTCTAACAATTTATTCAAAAATCTTCATAATAGATTATCAAAGCTCACATGGTTGGCATAGAAAATCAGTTAATGAAGGCAGAATCAGTTAAGCAACTAACGAATGGAACAACAAAAACACCCCATCCCAAACTCACCACTACCACCAGTCACCACCACCACTGCTTACCATCACCATCACTACCACCAGTCACCACTACCAACACAACCACCACTGCAATTTCCAATCAAAACAACCGACATCAATGGGTCGAAACCAATCAACACAACCAAAATCAAAAAAATCAAAAACCCCCAAACTTGCAGATCGAAAAGAGAGATAACTTCACCTTGCTGAGAACGACGCCAATGGGTTGCCGAGAACTTCACTTTGCCTAGAGAGTACGCAGAGACGGGCCAAACACAGTAGCGTCGCGAAGAATGGGTCGCCTCCCCATATCGGCTCCGGTACCGGCTCATCTCCTTCATCCAGAGGGAAGGAAGAGAGGGGATGGTGGAAGAAGTTGGAAGAAATTGAAAATGGGCAGTGGAGCTCTGGAGGTGTAAAAATAGTCATTTCGCGTGTTTTCGATTTTTCCCCTGTTTTTGCTTGAAAACAACCAAAACGTTGTTTTTATTGTTTTGTGTTTTGTGTACAAATAATTTTTTTCCCTGTTTTTGATGGAAAACAGCCAAAACGATGATTTTATCATTTTGTGTTTAGTGTACAAATTTGTTATCATTTTCAAAAACGCGTTTTCAAAAATAGGAAAAAGAACGCGTTTTCATTGTTTTGGAAAACCGAAAATAGAAAAAGACCCAAAATGGCCAAAGAGAACACCACCTTAATAGTTATCATTTCGTTTTTGAGTGTCAGTTGTTGAAGAAACGATTTGCAATTGCAGAATCGTGAGAAATATAATCGAAAATGAACAACATTAGAAAACCGACAAACTGAACCTTGCTGCTTTATGGTAACAACGTGCATGAATTCCACATCATTCTCCATAACCACACAATGTGTCGAGCGAGAGGCGAATCTCGATGTCTATACTCTCTTCTTCAAGCCCTTGAAATACAGTCAACTTTCCATCTAATTTGTTTTCCCCATCCCAAGTCATTTCCATACACACTGAACCAGGGCGAGCTGCGTACGACAAAAATGTTAATACTACGCTCCTTCACCATCAGAGGGCTTTTTAACCATTCTACAGAGAAATATTTTGTTTCTTCATCATGAGTTTGAGTAGCTTTAATTTGCTTCAGTTTCTGGGCAGTCCAACCTAGTCCATGGCTTAGTAACTCGTTTGGCATGCTCATTACGATGCCTCCATGTATAGCATTCCCAAAATAACCTTCCCACAAAGGCGGTAATAGCCAATTTCTTGCACCCATATGTAGTATGAAAGTAACCTTTTGGTTGGCATCATCAATTCCACGGCAGCTTATCACAGATCGCCTTATATGAGCCAAAAGTACTTGTAGAGAAGAAATACTAGACGTTTTTCCAATTTCATCATTGGCCTTGGATTCGAGTTTAGCAATGTTTTCTTTTCTAAAACTAAAAAATCTTTCTTTCAACGGAGGCTGACTGAATTCATCGATAAACTCTTGCTGGAGTGAAGGGATTTTAACAGGGAGATTAAGATGATAAGTAGAAAACCCGCATAGGAGACTGGGAAGTTTCCATGGATGACCAGATCCCTGTGACATTTCAGGCCAAGAACTGAAGAAATGCCAAAACGACATCCCATCAACTACACAATGATTCATGCTAAAACAAATGAAATACCCATCTTCAAGCTCAGTTACTAGAACACAAAGTAAAGGCTTGGAAGTTCCTTCACAGTTAAGAATCCCATTGAGTGGGAAAAGGAATATAGACAATTTCAGGCACGTATTTTGGCTTAAGAATATCATTCACAGTGAAGCCATAGTATGAGTAAATTGACCTCCAGCATTATTGCAATCAATGAAAAAGCACTCTGTTTCGCCCTCGAATTTCTTAATTCCAAGGCGACCAGCAAGAGGGGAAAAGAAATCTAGTGTGCAAGAAAGTGAGGTTTTAAGGTGATGGAGCAAATCTTCTACTTCTTTTCCTTCTTGAGTTTTTGGTTTGTCTAAACAAAGACCTTTTTGGTTGTAATTGACTAAAAGTAGCCGTAGATCCCATGGAGCCAACTATTCTAGTTGGTGAATTATCGACACCTGCAAACCTTGAAGCTTGAACAATACATGTTAATATTTCTTCAAGTTTTGCCATACCCCCCATTTTTTTCTTCAACTGCTGTGTTGCATGTTGCAGAAACACATAAAAATATATAGACTTGTTGACTGTTAAGACAAAGAATCGGGTAACTTTACCGGAATCATATCAAAGATTGGTGCAAGACAAAGAATCAAGTAATTTACCAGAATCATGTCAAGATTGGTGCGTTACTCTGCACTCATTGTAGGTTAAATTCCAGTTGCGTTCCCCAACCTTCTGGTGAGTATGACTATGGGTCTCCTACCTACCAAATGTGGCACTAGAATCCCCAACCATGGAACATGCGAGCATACCCTGTCTAAAAGAAAAAATCCTTTCTCCCGACTGAATTCTATTTTTAATTAATGAGAATATATAATATACTCGTGAAATATGCTATTATAAACATAAGACTATTTTTCATTTACTCAAATGGGAGGTCCTTTTTACTTTCACCACTCTTTGGCTTATGCTGGGAGGCAGGAGGCTCACTAGTCTTCCCTTCAGTGGAGGTTCTTGTGGTTACCTCGGAACTCTTGCCTGCTTCTAACCTACATCGAGTTTTACTTGCTTCGATTTGTGCATCATCTGACTGTTTCTTAGATTCAACGACAAATTTTTTTTACTATTTCTTTCAGCTTATATAGTCTCTCTTTTACCCCTCTAAACACTGGATCAGCTGCTCTTTCTTCGGTAGGGATGGCAACGGGGCGGGACGCGACAACCTTTCCCACCAAGAAATTCCCCGTCCCGTTACCAGTTTAAGGTGGGGCAGGGCCCTTGCCCCGTTTACTACGCCGTTTAATTTTATTTTATTTTTTGATAATTTATTATATTGTCCGCATTCACTAAATTGAGAAAAATAATTTTAGTTGTCATTTTCTATTAGAACTAATAAAATTTCGTGAAATTTTCCATTTAAAGTATTGAGTTCTAAAAAAAAATTAAACAGGGCGGGGCACCCGTTACCCATCCCCGCCTAGAACCCGCATCGGGGCAAAATTCCTCGTCTCGTCCTAGACTAGAATACCCAATTAAGCAGGTAATCCCCGCCTCGTTCAGGACGGGGTCCGCGAGTATGGGGGTTGTGGGGTTTTTTTGCCATCCCTATTCTTTAGCTTTTTTTTATTCCATTTCTTTTGCTTGTGCTTCAAATTTAGCATGTTTCTTCAACTCTGGTTCTGACAACATAATTTATAAGGGAACCTTAAAGAAAGCCAAAATACGAAACAAATCACACAACTTGTAGCTCTATTGTAATGATTACTAACATCTATGAAAAATAAAATCCAAACAACTGCTTCTAAAATGATGAAAATGGCTTCGTCCTGTATAAAACAATCTTCAAAACTTTGTTACCTTAACTCAACGCATTGAAGTATCCGTGTTGGACAACCAATATTAGGACAAAGGCTAGGGGTATGTGTAGCATAATTTGAATTGACCATAATCCACAAACTTATGACACGTCAAACGCGATTGATTTGTTCAGCAGTCATGTACAAAAATGTTGAATGTCCATTTCTATACATTATAAATATTGAAGTTCCCCGTAGATATAAAGAAAATCGGTAAAAAGATATCAATATATTGCTAGCCTACATACCCAAGATTTCAGTGAATCCAAATTTTGGATACTAATTTGACCAGAACCCTATCTGACTCCAGATGGAATAGGTGTAGAAAGGTCACCACCACGAAGGAGTACCAAAAGAATCTCTCTCCATGTAAATAAAGTAAAACCAAAAGCCTGTCTACAACAGAGTCTATGGGAATTAATGTGCTTCTTAACACAATGAGGGGCTAATTTCAAAGAAGCACGAACCTTTAATATACCCTTTTGGGTTATTCATATTGTGGTTGTCAAGAGATTTGTGTAGAAAGCCAAATTTGGAAAACCATACAAGTCACTTGAATGGGATTTCAGATGTTCTGCAAGATTAACCAAACAAAGGGGAAGTTAGGAGGATCGGTAAACTAGAATAAACAATTTTAGACATCGGTCATCGTATATATGAAACTGATTTGTTACCTTCACATGAAAATGAAACATAAAGGACAGCAAAACATTTGCTGCTAATTTAAAAAATGATATGAACTCTTACGAACTTTGCAAAATAACTGGGTAAGGTCATTCTAAGTGCCAAATGAAAATCAAGTTTGTAGGTCTGAGCATCGGGTGGGTCTATTCGGGTATTTTAGTAGCCCGAAACCACCCGTTACACTTCGATTATTTCATAATTGGAACCATTTGGTTCCACGTAATTACTGGAACCAAAAACCGAACCGGTTCGGGCTCGAGTTCGGTTATACCTATTATATTTTTATAGAAAAATTGTGAGTTGACAGGACAAATTATTTTTCCAATATCTAGTAGAAATAAAATATGCCATCTAATATATATTTCAACACTTTTCTTAATCCACTGCAAATATTCCATTTTATAAGCATTACCATTACCATTCCCAATCGTGCCCTGGCGTATTGAAAACAACGTGCTATTATCTATGTGGACCATAACAATGAATGTTGTGGATTGATTTTTATAAATAGATTGACGAGTTTAGAGACCATATTTTAGAAAAAAGATGCAAATGGGCTGAAGAGAAAATCAAACTACATATATAAACCAACCAAGGATGATGAACTAAATTATGATTACTGCGTCCATTTTTTTCATTTCACTGCGAGCATACTGAGCCACAAGATATATAGCTGCAGAGAAAGATGCATACGTATTCAATTATTCGGAACATGAAAGCACATCAAAATAAAACTCAAATAGCAAAAGGACATAACCAAGAAGATCTATGACAAACTCAATAGTCCACATTAAGATTAAGAATGCAGATACAATACCCAAAGAAGGCAAGCAGACAAAGAAGAGTTGTACCAGGTGGAAATCAAATCTGAAAATCATCAAACATACAGTTAATTCTTAGCTAAAATGGGAATCCAAACAATCAAAATGGAGATCATTAGATCAAGTTTCAATTTGTGGAAACAATGCGTTATGTATAATGCAGTTTTTTCTCTTTGCTGAAAAAAGGAAACGTATTCGATAAAATGCCTCTTAGAAAAGTAAAAGCTACCGGAATTTCTTCTTGGGCTGATCGGTGAAGAGGATTTTGGCGGCGGCCGTGAAGTCCAGATTATTAAGAGCTTTGTATTGCTCGCTATACTGACTCAATGGTGACGAAGACTCATTGATGTTGCTAGAAATGGTGGCCGGTTTATTATTGGAATTTTTGTTTAAGTGCTGTAAAAGGATCGGTTTATAACGGGTCTCGATTCCAAATATATCTTCCGCGAAGAATTCTTCTCCTCATCTTCATCACTACTCAAAACTCACCAAGAAAATGTTTAAAACGAGTCAGGGGAGAGATAGAGAGAAATGCTAGAGCACCGGTCGCTATGAAATGAGGCAACATTTACAACAGTATTAGTTTTTATGTCCCTTTTCACAAATTAAGACCCATTACAGCCACTTCTCACAAGTTCAAGAGTACATAAATGGGTTCAATCTATCATCATCTATAACTCGTATATGAACTTTGCAAACTTGAAATCTTACAAATATGAGAGAAAAACAGATTTTACGAGATGGATTTTAAGACCCTCGTCGACCCCCTTTTTCGTAATGCCAACGTGGACGAGATGAGGAGCTCACTCACGCCAAGCAAGTTTCGACGCATTTTGACCAGAGAACCAGTATGAAAGAAGGGGGGAGAGTGAATGCGGGAGATGCTTTACCACGCGAGACAAAAATTTCGAGTATCGATAATGGTAAATAAAATGATTGTACTAACAAACAATCACCAACAAAATATCAATAACCTAAAATCAAATTAACAAATGTAGAACGAGCAAGAGGGTATATTGAGAGTATTTTTCTTGAGCGTATTCTTGTATATTAGAATCAATATTAAATTTATCATCCTTTACAATTTATAAAGACCACATATTTATAGAATTCTGGTCGGCGTGTAAATTGTTGGATTAGAACCACATGGCATCATCTCCTTAACTGAAGCCTCACATCACCAAGTCTATCATACATTAAATACATTGACAACAAGTCAGCCATCTTATACATTAGACCGACACATCTGACATTTTTTATTACAAACGTTGCATCAATCATTCCTAAAGATTACCTGCAAATCTTGTAAGAAACAGCTTCAGATGAACTGAGAGCTTCGGCCAAATGGAGCTTCGTATTGGTGGTTTTTTGTGTGAAGAGCTTTGGCTTGAGAGCTTCAACCATTTAGTTAGTACTTCGGCACAGGAGTTTCAACATTTGTTTCACTTCTTTGCAATTGATCAATTAGGTCTTTGTTGACTTTTTTTTCCACGTGGACTGTGACACGGTACTTTGACTGGAGCCTCGGTGACGAGGCGTAACAACCCATGAAAATTTGGGGAAAAAAATGCAGAAAAGGCTTCAAATCTGTAGGTATGCTCC